ATTTGGAAAGCAGACTACCTAGTCCTTACCCCTGCGTGAGGTTAGGCAGGAAAATATTCAAAGTGGGGCTGGAGCAACTCCTGGAGAGAAATATGCCATGTGCACTTGCAGATGAGGGGCAAAATATGTTCAGAAGCAGAAGTTATGGTCAGATTGATGCCTCCTTCCAACCCGTTCCACAACTGCCTGTGGTGGGGTGTCATGTAAAAGGAAAAATATTTGGAAAAGCGGACATCTGTGGGCCAGCCTTGGTATGCTTCCCAGAATGTAATGACTAGGTGAATGTTTTTCAGTGCAGCAACTGAGGAATATAGGTGACTGCCAAGCACTGGATCTGATGTGGCGTGAAGAGGTACAAAACAAAGAGGAGTGATTTCTCTGAAGGAACTGAGGCCTAATTCTTTCCAAACTCAGCATTGAAAGAAAAACCAAAACCAGAACCAAAGCAGAACTCTTTTCAGTCCCTGCACTTTGCTTTTCTGATTTTTGCATATCTTTAGGACACTTCCATTGCATGGACATGCTCGTTTTCACCAGTCTTAGGGCTCTACAAGTACCAGTGTAGACTCATTATTGTCGACGCTTCTGAATAAATGCAGTTACTGAGATCCATGTTATGATTTTAGTTCCACTGTCAATTACTGATATCTAATTACCACTTAATCTGTTCTGAACTTTGTAGGAATGTGTAACAGAAACCACTTTAACTTTTGCTAGAACTGAATTTGAATCATGTGTCTCCTCTCCTACATGACTGCCACATCCACACCCACCACCCTAAAGAATAGAAATATATTTCAGCTTTAAGAGGAAAATACTCTGTACTCTACTGTGTGCATCCTTGCTCGCTATGGGAGATGTGAAATGCAGGCTCAAGTGCCCCGCAGCACCCTCAGACACTCTGCAGGTCTCAGAGAGTCTCCATCAGAGAAGACCAACGAGAAAGAGGACCCTCGTGGCCTGGGAACAGCTATTCCGTATCATGGACAACCATTACAACCAGGACAAAATGCAGCTGTGTTGCTGGAACCTGAGAAGGTGCTGGCCAAACTGCTCAACTCCAGAAGCAGCTTTAGGGCTGTGAAGCATCTCTTTGTGATCTAAAGTAAGTGTGTGTGTCCCTGAGAGGCTGAGATTTAGCGTGGAGCTTCTCCATGGGGTTTTGCAGTGCCAGGAGCCCCGTTGGGGCTGTGTGTGTGTCCTGCAGTGCCAGGCAGGGGCTTGATAAGCAGCCTGGGCTCAGGGCTTCCACTGTGCGGCTGGAGGGGAGTGCACCGGGCGCACAGAGGCAGATATTTTCATAGCAAATCTAAGCGGCAGTTTAGAAAGGCTGCCCCAGCCAAAGAAAACCTTGGAAAACCCCGCAGAATGAAACAATAAAACTGTCTAAGAATTTAATCCAATGAGAAAGTTAGTAATTGTCACAAATCCACTGGATTTAGTTTTCTAAAATGAAACTGGCCAACGGAGTAACTAGTTGTGCTTCTGTAATCAACTAGGAGCAGTTTTACAAAGTAATAAGAATGTGGAGGGAATTGAGTTACACAAAGTGGCTGCCACCTGCAGGTACTCCTTCAATGTTTCAGTCAATAAGGTTGGAGGAAAAATAGGTGAAATCTCACTTTGCTGGGGCAGGTAACAGTTTGTGTTGGCCGGTAGCAAGTGTGATTTGGGCAAATATATCTTGAATAACTGCAAACGAAGTGATGGCAAAACAGCTGAGTGAGATCCAAAGGGGGCTGCCGGCTGCCTCTGGAGAGCTCCTGAGAGGTGAGGATGAGCTGCAAACCCAGCCTGCTGTGACCAGAACACTCAGTTCCCTTGGGCAGCTCTGGACAACAGGTACCAGTGCGAAAATCCAAAGACAGATTGTAGGATATCACTCCCGCCCAAGGAAAAACTAAAGGAAGGGATGCAGGAATTACTCCCAGTGATTCCCGTGTCTGCCACGGGTGTGCTCCAGCCCTGGGAGCACCAGGGCAGCACAACTGCACTCACACACTCTGTTTCTCACTGTAGTCTTTGCTGAGACCATTGTGCTGCTCAGTCGCATCACTGTGCGGAGCAAAGTGAGGTAGAAAGATTTATTAAGGAAGGACTTTTTTAAGAAGCAAAGAAAGATGGTTTAGCTTCTTAGCTTGATAAATGCAGATTTTGGGATGCTGCGTGGTGGGATGGCAACCCAGACTGTAAGGATCCAAAGGCAACCTCTCTTTTGGGGAATCATTCCAGCCAACAAGGCGTATGAAACAGGGCTGCTTCTCCTCAGGAAAAGGGCACGTGCCCTACACACCATATACTACCCTCATGCTGCTTCCATAAAGACTTGAAAGTACATGACAATGCAGATTATTCTCCTCGCTCTGCTGTGAGAAGGGAGCTCCAAAAAAACTTACAGAAATTTTTCTTGCAGTGGAGGATCCCAACACAATCTGTGAGTCAAATGCCCTCCTCGTGTCACGGCATTCACTGGATTTCATGGGCACGTAACCTCAGGAGGGCATCCCTCCAGCCTGTCCAGACAGACAGCCCTGACAAGCAGCTGAGCCACGGGGGAAGCAGGAGAACTTGCAAAATGAAAATGTGCATTTAGCTCCATGGGCTGCCTTGCTTCCAGCTCAGACGATTTCCTTCTGTCTCAGTCTGATAACTGTGCAGTCTCCCAAAACCTTCTCAGATGGCTGCTGTCCTGCAGATCCCAACAGAAGCAGGGTGAAAGAAAGCTTACAAAAGGCTTGATATCTCTCGGAGCAGTCTCAGTCTCTGGTAGATTAGCAATGCAAACAAATGAAGGCTTCTTGGAACTAGCCAGAGACTTTTGGCAAACCCATGTGTTTGTGACTGCTGCCTTCATTGGAGACGATTGACACGACTGTGTCCTTTCCAGGCATTTTCAGCATTTCTGTATTATCGGCCACCTGGTCCAGGGCTGCAGAGTCCATCCAAGGGAGGACTGAGGCATGAGGACTGCTTGACGCAGCTCCATGGGTAAGAACCTTAAAAAGCTGGATCTTTTGTGCAAGAAATCATATCCCTTGGCTGGTTTGTAAATGTTCATTGCAAACTATCTAGTGCTGCTGCCAGACAGAATTACCTTAACTGGGACCTTATGGCTCAATCCATGGAGAGTCTCCTACATAAACACAGGCATGAATTGAAGAGCCTTTTTTTGGAGAGAGAGCTCCAAGCAGGCGCAGGCACCTCAGTTACAGCCTTTTACAGGACAGTAGCTGTGACAACACTGAAAAAGGTCTCACGGTTGAGTTTGCTGAAATACAGGAGCCCAGCAGCTATTGGGATTGTCTTCCTCAAGGGCTTCTTAAATAAGACCAGCAGTGTGTCACCTGTGCACTGCAAAAGGCCATCTGCTCCTCCCCAGATATCTGCATCCCAACCCACAGAGGCAGATATTTATAGGCCCCTGAAGGAGGGTCAGCAAATGTTGAGAAGAAGGTTGATTTTCAACTCCAAGAGTTTGTAGCCAGGTCATCTTAGCCTTGTTACTCTCTGGAGAAAAGCAAACGGCAAAACCCTCTACTAGTATTCGGCTGTTCCTGAAGTCCCCTCTTGATCTGAGATCCTGGGATTCATAATGTTCATGGCTTGCCAGGCAGCCGTTTTCAGCTCTGATTCACCCATGTGGACTAAGACACTGATACCTCAGCTCTCCTCAGGGAGAGTCTCAGCACAAAGTAGAGGTTTCCTCTCGATGTGTAACCATGGCTTGACCCACTCCACCCAAGACCTGACAGGGTGACAACTTTCCAAAGAAGACCAAGTGCTTGAGCCAACCACCCGGTGATACGTGGTGATCTGCGGTTAGCAGCTAGTGAATAGATCAGTTCAGAAGATCTGGGCTTTCAGTGCTGTCCTGGGCAGTCCAAAGTGCTGTTCACTTTCCCACTGGTTGGAGAACCTAGTTTATGGGTGAGGTGCCTGGCTCCTCATAGAATCATAGAATCATATGGGGTTGGAAGGGACCTCTGGAGATCATCTAGTCCAACCCCCCTGCCAGAGCGGGTCTACCTAGAGCAGGTTGCACAGGAACTTGTCCAGGTGGGTTTTGAATATCTCCAGAGGAGACTCCACCACCTCCCTGGGCAGCCCCTTCCAGTGCTCTACCACTCTCACAGGAAAGAAGTTCCTCCTCATGTTTAGGTGGAACTTCTTATACTCAAGTTTGTGCCCATTTCCTCTTGTCCTGTCACTGGGCACCACTGAGAAAAGACCGGCCCCATCCTACTGACACCCTCCCTTGAAGTATTTTTACGCATTAATTAGATCTCCCCTAAGCCTTCTCTTCTGAAGACTAAAAAGACCCAAGTCCCTCAGCCTCTCCTCATAGGAGAGATGCTCCAGGTCCCTAATCAGTTTCGTGGCCCCTTGCTGTACCCTCTCCTGCAGTTCCCTGTCCTTCTTGACCTGGGGAGCCCAGAACTGGACCCAGTACTCCAGCTGGGGCCTCACCAGGGCAGAGTAGAGTGGCAGGATAACCTCCCTCGACCTGCTGACGACACTCTTCTTGATGCACCCCAGGATGCCATTTGCCCTCTTGGCCACAAGGGCATATTGCTGGCTTATGGTCATCCTGTTGTCCACAGTCCAAACCTGCCAGTGGCAGCAAGGTACCCCTGCAGGTGCTGTGTGACCAAGCTGCTCAGCACGTCCCCACATTTCTTTCCTTACTGAACTGGGGAAGAGGAAACATTGGCAAGCAAGGGTGGTCCTGGTCTATTGAAACAGGCTGCCTTGCTTCAAACTGATGGAGAAAGTAAAGTCCAGTAAGGCTTCTCTGACCTCCTCTGTACCCTGGGAAGTACCCATGTTCAGAGATCTGGAAAGCTTTGCTCTGCAGAGAGGACCAGAACCTTGGCTGATGCCACCATGACTCTGGTGCAGGTGGAGAGCCTCCCTCCAGCAGGGGCCAAGCCACTGTCTGGGCAGAGCACGTGTTGGGACTATTGCTCTTAGAAGAGGCAGGAGCACTTCACGAGAGTGCCATGAGTACCACGACGGGCGCTGCCAGGACGGGGCAGGCACGGCACCGCCATCGGCCCCAGCCCTGCCAGGGCCTCCTGCCCCGGGCACATCGCGCGGCGGAGAGACACGGGGGAGCAGGCTGCGACCCCGCTTTGGGCTCACACTTATTCCCAGTGTTTACCCTGGCAGCCGAAGCAGGTAACTTTATACCGTTTTGCTACTTGGTGGAAACGCTGTGAGGTGACGGGCACCTGAATTTGTTGACAGCTTTGAAGGAAACAATTTAATTATGCTAACCTAAAACCGATTCCATCCCTTCGCCCTGGGGCATGTCCCCACTGATGGCAGCTGCAGTCCTGCCCCGGGCATCTGAGGGCAGCTTGGGTCCCAATCCAGCAAAAGCTTACTGGATGCTTTAATATTACACAAAAGAGCAATGCTTGCAGAGCCAACGGGATCGCCAGCGGGATCGCCAACATTTACACGTACAATCAAATGTGCAATTTGGCTCCCACCACTTTGTCATATTCTTGGCCTGTGTTTAAAAAAAAAAAAGGGAAAAGATGAAAACCCACAAATCACATTTAAACTAGCAGAATGATTTATTAAGAAAAAGCACTGACGGATTTTTGAAGTCCTGAAAGGGTTGAAATAGTCTGAATAGAATACAAGTTGACACAAATTTTTACCACAATGCAAAAGGAACTTGAACTATTCTAATAAGAGTTTGCTTTAATGTTCATGCATGTCTTCACATCCTGCTTTTGGCAATGGCCAGGAAAGAACTACCGAAATACTGTGAGAAAAGCTGTTCTCATGTTATTTCTGGCCCTGCTGTAATGCATGAAATCAGGACATCTCATGAGAGAGACTGATATTCAAGATTTTCAGTCTATTTTTCAGACAAAAAAGTCTGAATATATATCTAAACTTCTGGGTTTAGTCATGGCTAGATCTCAAACCAACAAGAAAAGTATCACTGAGGTCACAAGTCAAATACTCACAATACAGAAGAAAAGATAATAGTTATATTCAAATAGCTTTTAGGAAAAAAAACCCTGCAAAGCCAATTTAATAGTTATGTTCAAATAGCTTTTAGGAAAAAAAACCCTGCAAAGCCAATTTTCACTTGACATGCTGAGATGGATGCTCCTCGATCTCAAAATAACCCCTAATGCCACTGGGGAATTTCTGAAGCTTATTCGTAGGGTGCATGAGGGTCATGATTAAACCTAAAGTGCTTGAAGACACCGGCAAGTGTTGCAGGACTGGTACCGTGTATGTGTGCGGCTCTACTCTGTCTAAAAGTCACTTTTGATAAACACCTTCAGGATCCAAAGAAACGAGGGCTTTATGAACTATATGGTTTCTGGTGCCCCTGCCAACTCTGAATAAATACGCTGTGTGTGTAGCCAAGGTCTTGGAGAATTATTTCCTGAAAACTACTTTAGAACCAGAAGGAATTAATGAAGATGTGCCAGCTATTTCCTTCGCTGGCTTGCATGCCTCAGCCTCACCAATAACAAATAGTAGCGGTTTGTACATGAGTTATGCTGCTGCACCTCATGTTTTGCGCCCTGCAGAGCCCGTCTATTCTGTACCCAAGGAGGAAAACACAGACAGAGTATGAGTTTGTTGCCTCTCCTCGGGTATTGACATTCAAGGCTGGCAATAGCTACGAAAGCCAAACTGCATTTTGAGTCTTTGGCTTTAGCCTCTGCTAGGGTAGCATTTGTGTATTTTAAAACTATTTACAGAACTCTAACTTCAGTTCTGCTAAAAAGGAGATAATGCAGCTATCAGCAGCAGTTAAACATTAATATGATCTAATCTGCTTGAATAAACATTTATATTTATTATTATTGGAAAACTTATAGAAATCTTCTAAGTCATTAGAGATTTATAAATTATCAATTATGTAAAAGCTAGAGCAACTAGGGAGATGTTTTTATATGACTGCAAGCAATAAGGAAGGAGATTTTCAAACTCGGGCCAAAAGCATTAATTGCAAGTCCTCTTTAGAAAATCTTTCCGCAACCTTCTTTTATCCTCAGACTTTCTCAGGCTTCCTCTGCAGGAAAACAACTCGCTACCCGGTGGCTCCTGAGCAGAGACGGAGGGATTGGGATCCTGAGTCCCAGAGGGACCTCTCCCCGGGCAGCTCCGGGTGCCCAATCTCGTACAGCTTTTATAGAACCTGGCATTAACTTTGGGGTTTTCCTTCAAGACACAAAATCCCTTCACTTACATCCCTGTTGCCGAGGCAACATGCTTCAACTCTGCCTGTCCTCTCCAGGACCTGACATCTACCAGAGGAGCTTCTAGACAGAAAATCATCGAAACCCTGACTCAACCGCACAAGGTTTTACGCCGTGCGAGCAGCCAAGAGGCTGAGGATATTTGGGAGGGTTTTTTATGCAATAACTGGAGGGCCATCAAACTGAGGCATGTTATGACTACTTCTCCCCGTTTAAAATCCTAAAAGTCAGTCTGAATTTTGTATCCTCTCTGTCTTGTCTCCGGAAAACGCCTCAGATTTGGGGTTGAAAGTGAATACGCTCTGGGCTGATGTGTTGGGAGCTACTACCCCGTGCGGAGCTTTGTCAGTACGAAGGAAAGAGGAAACGTTTCTGCTGGTATTATTAACATGTCAGTAGCACTGATAGATTCCAACTGAGATCAAGCCCTCTTGTATTAGTCGTGTGCCAAGAGCAGAGTAGGAAGCAGAGAAAGGGGAGGAAGCGTTATTATTCCTGTGTTACAGCTGCAGAGGAGAGGCACGGGGATTGTGAAATCCTCGAGGTCACACAAAACCGCGTGCGGCTCGAGCGGGGAGTGGAGTCAGCCCCTCATATCTGCCCCTTCCCATCCCCTCAGCCCACGTGCCTCTCCCCACCTTGCCAGGTCGGTTCACATTTTCGGGTAACTGGGGATGCCCAAGAGTGGGGGCTGGTAGGGTAAGCCCCAGGAGATGGGTCTCAGGCAGATGCCATGATGTGAACCATGGTGACCCTGCTCATCGGTGCACCACCTTTGCTCCCACGCACACCCCCTCGTCTCTCCCTGCCCAGAAAAGGCAGACTTGAGCAAAAATTCCTCATGGTTTGAACCGTTCTCCAGAAAATTATTTAAAATGATGGATTGACCTCTATAACTGAAAAATGCTGGAGAATATTGGTGGTAAAAATATCCAACTTTATGCTTTCCAGTGGTGCTAGGTGGGAAAACAGGAATAAATAGTAGGGAATTCAGTAACACAGCGGATGGTGTTTATTCTTGCACAGGTGGCCGAAGAAAATTAAAATTATAATTATTATTGTTATAAACTGTTCAACGTTTATCCTTAACTTTTCAAAACAGTGATTTTTGCAATGTGACCTACAACTATTAATGTTAAATCCAAACAAATCCACATTCATTTTCTCAAATCTAGAGCAGACATCAGCCATCTGAGATATTGCAGTAAAAGAGAAACTGAGTCGTTCCCTGACTGGTAAAAGCACTGAAACTCTCTGAATTTCCTCAGAGAATATTAAATACAGATTTTAAAACTCAGCTAAAAGAAACATGGTTATCAAAAGAATAAAATATATAACATAGCAAAATTACTGATTTTTATTCTATTGATACATCACACATAATTAAGAAAATCAGCCTCTTTTGGAATGGTTCGACCCCTGTTTGTACAGAAACAAGGGCGTAGGTGTGTATTTAAGGCTTGAGTCTCTGGCTTTGTATTCCTTGGGGTTAAGTGAAAATGAGCAGCAGAGGAGGGATGGTACAGACTGGAGAAACCCACACAGCGTGACTCCATGGAGGGCAGAGAACTGAAGAAGCCAGGTGGGCCGTAAGAGCCATGAGTGGGGTCTCCTGTGGGGCAGACACAGATCCCACCTGGGTCCTAAGAGCACGAAATAAGAGAATGACTCACACATGTGGATGAAGCTTCGTAACCAAGAGGCCCTACCTTGAGGCACTGACCATGTCCCACACCAAATTGCAGAGCTTCTCCTGCTAACCACATTTCCTCCTAATTAACACGGTGTTACACAGCATTGTGGTACCCAGGAACAGCACCTGGCACCTGTCGGGAGCCCTTTTGCCCCCATGGCCGCTCACAGAGCCCCAAGAGAGCTGGGAAAACACAGCTCCTGCAAACTCCACAGAGTCTTCCTCCTCCCCGTGTCCGCTGCACGCAGCAGCCCAAGTGCAGCAGGGTCCCTATGGAAGTTGCTTTGTTTTACATGGCCCAGGGGATGGAAATCTAAAAAATGCAATAAAAAATGGACATGAAACTGGTGAGGAAAAAATAAAGCCCCTGAGAAGCAGTCAGGAGCTTGTTTTTCTAACTCTTTGGAAGGGTTTGCGTGGAAGTAGAAAGAACTGGGGTCTAGTCCTTCTTTGGAGATCCTGTTACATTTTTGTTTATTAATTATTAGGACAAAACACATCAAGAAAATGCAGAACAGAAGTGAGTCCTCCAGTTGCTTCCTAGATGAAGCAGCAGCTACGGGTTGGGTTGGGTTGGGTTGGGCTGCAGTGGGGTTTTTTGATCTGTGGTTTGTCTGGGGCCTTTGTTGCCACTAACCCCAGTGCTCTTCCCAGAGTTTGAGGGTGACACCACCCCACAGGGCCCCACCTTCATAGCAGGAAGAGGGGACAGCTCTGCCTGCTGCAGCTCCCAAAGAGACTCCTGTCCCCTCCCCATGTTTGCAAGCCCAGGTCCCTGCCTCTGGAGGTGCCTCAGGCCCCCCACACCTGACAGTCCTGTGTAAGGCCGGGTTGAAGGCTTGCACATGGCTGACCTCTACCTGCGCCATGCCATAGCCCAGGCCCTGGGTTTCATTGCTGAGCTAAGCCAGAAGCCAGATGACAAAATATTATGTGTCATAGCGTGTAAGAGCTGCCATGTAGAGCATTGTAGCACGCTCTACAACCCAACCTCTGGCCTCAGTCTAGGCTTTCCCAAGCACAAACTGCAGGCAGTCCCTCCTGTAGTTTTGTGGATGGCAAGAACTGGACCTTCACATGAAGTCCTCTCCCACATTGGCACAGAGTCTGGTGCAGTTCTGTTCTGTGCAGTCTCTGTTCCACCTTTCTGCAGCCTTCAGTGGCCTGCAGACAGCAGACCCGCTCCCTTCATGAACAGCTTTTCCTGGATGGAAACGATAAAGAAATACCTGAGTTACGCTGAGTGC